ATGTTGTTTATACTTTTACCAATTATCAGCTGCTAACAAGGTTACAATATATTATTGGATGTTTAAAAAAAGAGAGAACAAAACCCTGAGAAGTGTGTAATACACACACATAGGTAATCACAATAAAGCATTATCGTTAAAGCAAAATGTATGTTTCCCTTCATCATTTTAGTTGTCTGATAGTACACGAGTGTGCTCAGCCCACTTTCCAGCAGAAGACTTCACCCGGACACTCATTGGCCTTAGGAAGCTGAAGGCTGGAGCTGTACCTTCCATCTTTGACTGGACTAAAACTACCACTAAGGCCAAGGAAAAAAAATGTTGTGTTTCCTGTTTCGGTCCTGAAAAAATTAGGGTCGGTAGGTAGGGATTATCTTATTTTATTTTTTATTTTTATTTTTTTTAGACTTTGATGATTGCTGTGTTTATTTAAGTAGAACAAGTTGAAAAATCAATTATGCAATATTATATTTCAGGGGTCTCCAACTTTGCGCCCTACGCCGCGCGCAGGAGAAGCTGTTGCATTTTAATACGTACCATTCTGAAATGCAGTTTGTAGCCTTCTCCTGCAACTTGAGTTGAAAATCTGTCTAACTTAAGAGATAGAAAATCAAGCCCAATTAAGTACAAATATTTCAACATAATAATTGGTTGGTATGGTACATTGTCTAGTCTGGTCAAAGTTAGTGGATTCAGAAGAAGAAAAACTTCTGAAGGAAAAAACGCCTGAAGAAAAAAAAATTGGAAGAAAAAAACTTTCGAAGAAGAAAAACTTTTGAAGAAAAAAAAAACTTTTGAGGAAAAAACTTCTGACGAAAAAAACTTCTGAAGTAAAAAAGATCTGAAAAAAAAAATATTATTCAGCGTAAAATTTTGATTGGTTTCTATCCCAATGTTTTCCTAAAAATCGATATGTGATTGTATCAATTTTAAACGCCCTAAAATTAGCTAAATCGGCGCAATTTACGATGATTGCGCAATACGCGTGCCCTATGACCTTTGACTTTACGGGTCACGCAGCTCTAAATGCAGGCGCCCTCCCCACCTCGGCCGTCCGATTTGCAGGCAAATTTCTACTTTTTTTTAAGGGTTTCGGGACCTAAAAACTAACACCAGAGGGAAAATAAACCACATACGTTATTTTTATGGTAAAAATCGCTAAAATGGACCAGGCATTTTTCTGCCGCGTTGCCGATTTTGAGATTCAGGACTTGCGGCCACCATGTGCTTTACGTCGATAGCGAATTTTCTACGGTTTCGTAAACGTATCGGCTTTTTGTTAAACTTATTTTCGGGGTCGAGGGCTTTGTTTTACAAACAAATCAGACAATAAGCGTTGTTTACACGGCTTCAAAACGCTAGCGGGGCGCCCGATGTTCCACCAATGACAGCGATTCTCTCGGTAGCGTCGTGCAAATGTTTTGGTTCAGCAATATGCAGGGGTCCACACAAAAATAAGTCTAGGGTCGGCGGTTTTTTTTAGGGTCGGTCGGGAAACAGGAAACACAACATTTATTTTCCTAGGCCTTAGTATGATTACTACCAACACAGATGAACTTCATAATAGAAAACTTACTGTTGATCATGTCCACCAGTTGATTGACCGCCGTCCCCACTTCTGGCCTCAGGCGCTCACGGACGGCCACTCCCAGGGTCTGGTCAATATCTGCACATTCAATAACAGTGTGGTCAGTTTTATATGGTAGTTAAACATGAGCAGCGTAATTTGTACTTGTCCATAAAACTGGCAGTGTAAAATTTAATGTTGCTATAGGCTCCTGTGCCCTATAGTTATTTAA